CGGATGTTAATAAATACAATGAAAATACCACCGGCTTATTTAGAAAGAGAGAACTTCTTAAGTTCAACAGAGAGAACTAATAATGAGGACTAGACCAGTTTGGCAAAATCATTGCTCTTTGTGAACAACTCCAATTTCCAGCTGGCTTCCTGATCAAAGGTATCTTTCCTTAGTGCTTTTTCACTCTCCAGATTTTCTCCTGTGTTTGTTCAGGCATTTGAACATCAGTGTGTGGTAGTTGTGGAATTTGTTTTATTTTTAAGTCAGGTAAAATGTAGTTTATAAAATGTTAATGGGTTTCTTGAAGTCTGTTAAGTAACTATAATAACTAATTAATGAGAAAACAGCATGACATCAAGGAATCTAGAGGTATTTTTTTTTTTTTTTTTTTGTCCAGAGGAATTGCTTTACTGAGTCTTGGTACTTGAGTCTAAATTGTTTTAGTTAAGGTCACTGAAGGTGTAACGACAAAATACTAGCTAAAGGTGGCACTGTGCTTTTTCTAACTATCATGAGGCCCTTATTTTTGTTGAATCGATTGCTGTGTGTTAATGGAAATGAATCATTTTAACAACTTGCACACTACTTCGGGTTTAATCATAAAGATGATTTTCCCCTCTCTTGATTGTACATTATCTTGCTTTTATCTTGGCCTTAGTCCAAAAATAAACTCACAGAATGTGAATCTCGTTGAGACTTCACTGACCATCTGTCAAGTTCCCCATTCACTTTGCTCTTGAGGATGCTAGCTGGCAGAGGTGGAACAACTATTCCCAGAGATCCTGAGGAAATATCGGGGATAGAAATAAACCTCTCAGTCCCTAGTTTGGTTGAGTCTTTTTCAGTATCATTGTTTGTGTTAAAGATTAAATGCTACCACTGAGTAAAAATCTTGCCTTGAATTGGTGTGTGTAAATCGTCATCAGAATCTGTGGGTTGTAGGCAGATTCTGAGCAGTGGGATTATTTGTAGCTAGGATGTGTAGCTTGAGGTGCTCTATAACATTTGGAGTTCTGGAAACATGCAGTCACTTCCTGGTTTGGGTGAAGGGTGAGCAGAGTGTGAAAGCCACGGTTTTCTATTTTTGCGTGTGGTGGATCTCTTGAGTTATCAACAGGAATTTACTAAAACTGTCTCAGTCCTGAAGAAGTTATATCAGAGTTCTAGGTAGTTTTTCACTCCTATATATATGCCTCTGTTTGCTGACAGCATTCTCTCAAGTTCATCTGAGCGCAGACCATTTTCCTAGTGGCCACAGGGACGAACTCTAGTAAGCAACAAAATCACCCCAACTCAGTCTTTCATTTAAGAGCTTATGGTATGATGGTACAGGAGAAAGAGATATTGAAGAGATAAAACACATAAAAGAAAGATTCAAATTCATTCAACAATATTTGTACATGTATGTATAAATATATATCAGTTAACACTATGCTATAGGAGAATCCTATTATTCCAAAATATTGTATGTACGTATAAGTACCGGATAGCAATTTTATTTCTCTTGCATTGTTTCTGATGAATCCCTTAAGTAACTGCTTCAATACAAGATTTTCATGGGACTCTGATTGCTCATTTCCCCACTATGGATATTTTACTGTGCTTACATGAGCAGCTTGTCCCTTCTGGTATGGCCTGAGCGGGTAGTCAGGGGCTGTATAATGCTAGATTTTATGCTGCGCGTTTCACATGAGGATAAGCAAAAACAGAGTTGTTGTTAGATCAGTTTTGTAGAGTCTCTGCAACCCAGGTCATTGAAAGCTGTGGTTCGTTATAACCTAAGAGAAGGTAGTAAAAGTAACTAGAACAGGTTTTGTGGTGTCTATTGGCATCTTAAATTATTAAAGGTAAAATTACTAATTTCAGAATTCAAGATGATAAACTTTGTTTATATAACTTGACCTTTTACCTGTAGTCACAGGGAAGGGTCCTGGGAAACTATAGAAATTCAGCCACAAATCCGTTTTTCATGCAAGAACTCTTGATATAGTGGTAGAGAAATTCAGAAGACTTGACACAATTAAGGTGGAATTGACTTTATGTGCAATCTCAGTTGTCGAACGAAACTCTAAGGCTGTACGTAAATCATTTAAATATTTGTAATAAGATAAAAAATCTGCAGTAAAATCAGTGCTACAGGTTATATTTTTGACTCTGTACTCTGTAGAGACACTTTTGGAGATTTAGGCATACTTTGGTTAAAAAAGCAGATGAAAAGTATTTAGTGGAAATCGGACAAAAAGATTTAGTTATACTTGGGTTAAAAATCAGACGAAAGGTATTTAGTAATCAGATGAAAAATAGAGAGAAAGAAGACACCATTCTCCTAGGGCTTTGCCCACTAGAATCTTTTTGCTTTTTGCAGATTTGCAGGGTTGAGTGTCAGGTAGTTCACTCTCCATAGCTTTGGCCCTTGTCAGATAAGGTATATCACATACTGAGGCAGGAAGAAAATGACAGTGGGTTAAGGTTGCTAGTCACATGTTGGCACAGATACTTGACTTTGTCCCTGAGACATGGCAAGTGTTCAGGGTGAATCACTGAAACTATAGCATATGGACTTTATCCTTTCAGAAGAAATACTTGGACTAGCAAGCTGAAATTCTTGTGATTTTTAAACTGTGAATGCTCTAGCAGTATATCCCAAATAATTACAACAGCCCCTCCTTATCCACAGTTTCTCTTTCTGCAGTTTCAGTCACCTGTGGTCATCTGTGGTCCAAACAATTTAAATGGAAAGTTTCAGAAATAAGCAATTTATAAGCTTTGAATTTACACCCATTCTGAGTAGTGTGATAAAACCTCAGGCTATCCCACTCTGTCCCTTCTTCTTCATAAGAAGAAGGTGAGTACAGTACAATAAGATAGAGTGCACATTCACATAACTTTTATTATGTTATAATTATTTTTATTATTAGATATTATTGTTAATCTTTTATGGTGCCTAATTTATAAATTAAACTTCATCACAGGTAGGTATGTGTGTATAGAAAAAAACTCATAGATTTTTATATGTGTGTGTGTGTATATATATATATATATTTTTTTTTTTTTCTTTTATGGTTCGATACTCTGCTTGGTTTTAGGCATCCACTGGGGGTCTTGGAATGTACCCCCAACAGATAAAGGAGATTACTGGATGTGAAAGAGAACAAATTCTGCTTTTAGAATTGGCACTAGAAGATTTAAAGGTGTACCATATATGTCTAAAAATAAAACAATCTCGAGTATAAGATAATCTTCCTTGGAAAGATGAAAATTACAAAAAAAATTTTTTTGAACTAGTAGATACATTGAAAACTTCCTGTGTACCAGGAATTATTACTAGGCTCTGGGAATACAAGAAAAACAATGAGAAAAACAAAAATCACCACCCTTCTAGAACTTACATTCTCACTTACTGTATTAGTCCATTCTCACACTGCTATAAAGGAATACTGAAGCTGGGTAATTCATAAAGAAAAAAGATTTGATTGGCTCATGGTTCCACAGGCTGTACAGGAAGCATGGCTGAGGAGGCCTCAGGAAACTTACAATCATGGCGGAAGAGGAAGCAGGCACAAACGTGGCCAGCACAGGATGAAGAGAGAGAAGGGGGAGGGCTACATACTTGTAAACAACCAGATCTCATGAGAATTCACCATCATGAAAACAGCAAGGTGAAGATCTGCCCCCATGATCCAATCACCTCCCATTGGGCCCCTCCTCCAACATGAGGATTATAATTCAACATAAGATTTGGGTGGGGACACAAATCCAAACCACATTACTTACATAATCAATAAATTATACCGAATAGTAAAGGTGGTAAGTGTTAGGTAGAGCAATAGAGCAGGGAAAAACCCAGAGGAATGTGGGCTGTGTGAGTATGAATGTGTGTGTGTGTGTGTGTGCATGTATGTGCATGAGTGTGTGTGCTTGTGCACATACATGTGCATTGAGGTGGGAAGACACCCTGGGATGCTGCCTTAGAAGGTGACATTTAGAACATGGAGTTAAATAAAGCGAGGGAAGGAGCCATACAGGTATCTGGGGCAGGAGTGTGGAGTTCAGAGACCTTGAAGGAGGAATGTGCCTGGCATGTTGAAGGAGCTTTTAGGTCACAGATATGTGCTACACATGGTTACATTCTTTTGAGTTTCTGATTAGCCTTTTCAAAGGAGACAATCAGATATGCATCTCTCTCAGTGAGCAGAGGGGTGACTTTGAATAGATGGGAGGTAGGTTTACCCTAAGCAGTTTCCAGCTTGAGTTTTCCTTAGTGATTTTGGGGTCCTAAGATATTTTCCTTTCACAGGGTATTGGGACAAAAGTGCCTTTGAATATTCTTTTGTAGGCTCTTGTGTGGACATGTTTTCCAGTCTTTTAGATTAATCTCTAGGAGTGGAATGGCTAGGTTATAAAGTGGGTCTATATTTACTCCTAAGAAACTGCCAAACCATCTTCTAGAGTGGTGTGTCATTTTATACGTCAGTGTACAATGTATGAGAGTTCCAGTTGCTCCCACGTCCTTGCTGGCAGTTAGTTTTCTTTTGATCTTAGCCGTTCTAAGAGGTATACAGTGGTATCTTATTGTAATTTTAATTTACATTTTCCCTGCTAGTTAATGCTGATGAAGGATGTCTAGATTTTAATCTCCTCATCAGGAAAGGTTATTTTATCCTCATGCTGAGGCACAACATAACTTTTAAAAACAATCAAAAGATATTTTGTAACATAATAGGTGGGCAGTGTGTTAACTAGTTTCATGGTTTTGTTTCTGGGAAGCTCATTTAAAGTGGGAAAATATAATCCTGTTATTCAATTTCAATTAATATTCATTACATTTTAATTTTACCTTGAAGTCATTTATATAAAATACTGTAAGTGTATGCTCTGTCTTGTGTAGTGTCTATTACTTTGTATATTATTTAGGATGAAAATACATTCCATGTGGCTAGGTAAATGTAAATTGTCTCAAATCATTCAACTAGAATCAGGATTTTAATTTTTTCCCCCAGGTTCCTGATGTTATTAGCAGCATAAGGCAATTATCTAAAGCGGCCATGAAAGAGGATGCCAAACCCAGCAAAGATAATGAAGATGCCTTTTACAATTCTCAGAAGTTCGAAGTCTTGTACTGTGGAAGGGTGACCGTGACCCACAAGAAGGCCCCATCAAGCCTCATTGATGACTGTATGGAAAAGTTCAGCCTGCACGAACAGCAGCGCCTGAAGATCCAAGGCGAGCAGCGCGGTGCGGACCCCGGAGAGGACCTGGCTGACTTGGAGGTGGTGGTGCCCGGGTCCCCTGGAGACTGCCTGCCGGCAGAGGCGGATGGCACCAACACCCACCCTGGCTTACCTGCTGGGGCCAGCCAGCCTGCCCCGACCAGCTCTCGGGTCTGCTTCCCTGAACGGATTTTGGAGGATTCTGACTTTGATGAGCAGCAGGAGTTTCGATCTCGGTGCAGCAGTGTCACAGGCGTGCAAAGGAGAGTTCACGAGAGCGGCCAGAAATCCCAGCCGCGAAGGAGACATGCGAGCGCGCCCAGTCACGTCCAGCCCTCGGACTCAGAGAAGAACAGGACCATGCTCTTCCAGGTACAGCTGGCCGGGCACTGTTCACTCCTCCCAGCTCTACCTCTATATAATGAATAATCTAACTTTTACGTGTTTTCCCCTTCAAAGCAGCTAAGGCAGGTGGAGAAAGAGTGCACAGGAAAGTAGAGAAGGAGCCAGAGGCAGACTTGGAGTGTGGAGTGTAAGAAGCAAGGGAGTCGTAGGGAAGGAAGAGGAGGAGGAAGCAATTTGTGCAGCATCCTGGACACCTGGTGGAGAGAATAAGAATCTATCACCAGCATTTGCCTTGGGTTGATTCTCAAATAAATGCATTAAAAAAAAAACTTGTAGGCCAGGCACGGTCGCTCACGCCTGTAATCCTAGCACTTTGGGAAACTGAGATGGGCAGACCACTTGAGGTCAGGAGTTCAAGACCAGACTGCCAACATGGCAAAACCCCATCTCTATTAAAAATCAGTTGGGCGTGGTGGGGTGTGCCTATAATCCTAGCTATTTGGGTGCTGAGGCAGGAGAATTGGTTGAAATGTGGAGGCAGAGTTTGTAATGAGCTGAGATCTCGTCTCTGCACTCCAGCCTGGTGACAGAGCAAGAGTCCCTCTCAACAACAACAAAAATTGTAGAAAGTCAATCTTTAAAGATATGAATCTGAGAGAGTGCGACTTGATGTGGAGACACAAGGGAATTTTTTTCTGGAGAAGAAATAACTCCAGAGACTCATATGTGTATTTTGAGTTGAGAACACACCAGTTTATACTGTCACACAAAAGAGGTTAAAGAAACACCGTTGGCCTAAAAATGTACTGAAATAATTTGGATGCTAAAATAATTTGATGCAAGCTGTAGTATTGGCATAAAAGATCATTCTTAATTCTGCACATTTTTGAATGTTGTACCGGGTATAGAAGGTGTCAGGTTCCACTTAAAATAACTTAATTCATAACAACACCCTGTAGAAAGTCTTTAATCCTCAGCTTGTAAGATTCGAGTTTCCTTGAAAATAAAAAAAAAAGTGACTATCTTTTTTGTCCTATTTTAAAGATTTCCTGAGAAGGAAATTCCAGAGTATTTTGGTAAACAGTACCAGTGTGTAATATCAGAAGTTTGCTTTATCAGAAGTTCATGAGTTTTTTTTTTTCACAAATGATAGTATTTTATTATAGAAAAAGCATCCCAAATGCAGGATTTTATAAACACTGGTAGGTAAACAAGTACAGCTTCAAAAGTAAATTCAAAGTAAAGCGGTAACACTTACAAGCATGTTTCCTTAAGAAGAAAATGTGATGCTCTCCTGCAGAAGTGATCCCATGCAAAACACAAATGTGGCTCCATCTCCATGAAGGCATCAGATTTGCTTTCTGAGCTCGGTGTGTCCATTTCAACAATTGAAAATGATGGCAAGAGGTGGCATTGAATATGTCACTACTCGATTAAAAAAATCAAACCCTTGATGATTAAAAAAAAAAAAAATTAAGAGACAGGGCCTTGCTCTGTCATCCAGGCTGAGTGATTATAGCTCACTACAGTCTTGACCTCTCCAAGTTCGTATTTTGTTCTTTTTTTTGTGGTGGTTGGTTTTTTTTTTAATGAACTCAAGTTATGTCACTAAAGCCTCACTAGTCCTTGGTGATGTGGTAACTGAAATTCCCCTCTTCTCTGGGCTATCAGATTTATTCTTTATGCTATACTTTATTCCTTTTTTTTTTTTTTAGCTAGTCACAGCGCTTGTAAATTTTTTGGAATGGTTTATTTTCAATAATGTTAATTCATTAGTCCAATTACAGATATATCCTTTTGCTGACCATTTGGGAGAAAGTATGATTATAACTGATTTTTTAAAATTACTATTTCTGAAAAAAAATTTGTTTGTATCTTATAATGATTGAAGACCAACTTAATTTTCATACTTTTTTTGACAGAGGGAAGAAACATTTGAGGCAGCTGATATTTGGGGTTAAAATTATTGGTTGGATTGGATATTTAAGGACATGTGAATTAGATATATCTGGGATATTGCATTGAATTGGTATTATTTAATATTTCATTATAAAGTAAGATGTTAGATCCTTGTGAGTTGAAATTAATTGGAATGCTTTTATTTTTAAGGTTGGGCGATTTGAAATTAACCTTATCAGTCCAGACACTAAATCAGTTGTCCTAGAAAAGAATTTTAAAGACATCTCCTCTTGTTCTCAGGTATGTATCAAAGTATATCATAATATTTGAAGAGACCAATTCAATCTTGTTTCAAAATTAACAATAAAATAACTGGGCTTGACCCCCTTCAAAAAATATTTTTTTTAATTTAAATTTTTATTCTTAAAGGGAATTTGTCTTAAACCAAGGGCTCCTGTGTTTATGTCTGTGCCAGCACCAAAATCCCGTCCAGGTCCCTTGGTATCTGTCCTAACAGTTTGTCCTCATTTTAGTCAACTCTCTCATTGTAATGCCACTTCATCAAATCCCTTCCAGGGATGGAATTTTTGTGGTGGTGAGTTCTTTAGAAAATACCTTCACAGTTAGTGTTGCTTGGAATCTTGGACCATGAGACTTGTGGGTATAACTGAGTCATGCTTGCTCTTTATACCATAGTAGGTAGTAAAGGAGAAGCTAGGTTTCTGCTTATTTTAATGTAAATACTAAATTTTGAAAATATTTTTGTATTTTTGTTCTTTTATTTATTTTTAATTCACAAACTGCGTATTTAAGTGTTTTTAAACTAATCAATACAGTCAAATATGTACAAGAATATATTAGGCATAGACGCATGTCCTATGGACCACAGTAACAATCTAGAATATCTATCCCAAAGTTAGAGCTACCTAAACATACTGTAAACACAAAAAGAATTTTTGAACATGTCAGATGGAGGGAGTATCTAAATCTAAATGTAGGAAAGTTCAAAAATGCACCTCTAAGGAAGTTCCTGGAATTGAGAATTCACTTCTTTTCTGCCTAGTGACTTAACTTCAAGGAGCTGGATCTTGCCAAGTTCCCTACTTAAATTTTAATGTTGAAAAATCATGACGGCCTATCATGTTTTTTTTATTTACTATCTTTTTAAAAATAATTTGAAGTTAGCATTGCTATAGGTATGATATTCAGACATTCTTCCCTTTGAAGAAAACAAGACAGTTTTTGTACTTTTTTTGAGACAGGGTCTTCCTCTGTCATCCAAGCTGGATTGCCGTGGCGTGATCGTGGCTCATTACAGCGTTGACCTTTTAGGCTTAAGCAATCCTCCCACCATAGCCTCTGGAGTAGCTGGAGCCACAGGCGTGTGCCACCATGCCTGGCTACTTTTTATTTTCTTACATTTTTTTGTAGCGATGAGGTCTCATTATGTTGCCCAGGCTGGTCTTGAACTACTGGCCTCAGGAGATCTTCTTGCCTCGGCCTCCCAAAGTACTCCAATTATAGGCATGAGCCACCATGCCTGGCCAGTTTTTGTACATTTTGTTAATTGTTTGCCTCAGTCTCAGCTAATACAGTTCACTTCTGATATTTTGTTTTAATATACTTTCTATTACATGGAGATATAAAATTACATTGTGTAGATAAATGTTTTCAACAGTTGAAATAAGGAGGAATATATTGTGTATTTCTAAATTCCTAAAGGACACAGAAGTTTTAACTGAGAAGTATTTATTAAGCGTTCTTGTAATTATCAGTTTACTGGTGGTCCCTTCAAGATTATAAACGCTGTGAGGGCTGGTAAGTGTGTCTAAGGCTGTGATGTCATTCTAGGACATTGGAATCAGATGTACGAAGACAGGGCTTAACCCTGAGGTGTTAATACATGTTGAATGAATGAGCGCTTTCCATATGGTGGGCCTTATGCCAAATACTAAAGAGAAAGTGATGTCTAGACCGAAGCAGTTTCTACTCCGCAGAGCACCAAAGGGCATCCTCAAAAGCTGTGCTTCCTACCCCACACTCCCTGACCCTCCTGGTGAGAAAACTCACAATGCTCATTCGGCAGTTAAAAGAAAAAAAAAAATCAAAACAGAAAAAAGAACTTCCAAAAATTGGAAGTTCAGATATAATTTCTTGTTTCTCCTTTGTGTTTTTTTTTTAAGTCAACATTTGCATTCTGATATTCTGGTTCAAAAAAAAGAAACAGAAGCATGAGGGAAATGTGTGGGAAGGCCTGCCTTTCATCGAGGTAATTGTCAGGCTGACCCTGCTCATATGACGTCCTTCCATGGAATTGAACTCATATGATACGGCTGTTTTCAGGAACAAGCTGATTTTTAACAGTGCACACCCACAAATGCTTCTTTCTTCAAAATCTGTTGGACCGTTTGCCTGGCAAGCGTGGGGACTAGTGGAGTGGTTTTCTTTCCTGGAAACATTACCATTGCCTCAGGACTATCTGAGCTAATGAGGTCCTGTGAATTTTTCCCATTTAGTACTAAGCTAGTAAAGGATATTCTTAAATCAATAACAAGTGCCAAATTGAGGCCAGTGTGGCTGGACTTGGGGAAGTGAGAAGGGAATGTGGGAGGAGATAAAGTCAGAGGAAAGGAGATGAGAAGGGAAAGATGAAACTTGAGGTTGTCTATCTAAAGGTCACATGGTGGGCTTGTAGTCACTGTGCAGATTTCATCTGTATGGATATCATATGTGAATGGCTTACTTTCATTTCATGAATTGCAACCTCTCTTCTCCATACTTTTTCTTTTTGCCAGGACTGATTTGCTTTTTCTGTTTCTATTGGATAGATTGAGCTTATTATAACAAATTAGTGGTTACCATTTATCAAACATCCTAGGAATTATATTTCTTAGTTCTAAATCTCAAACATTCCTGACAGAAGGTGCTGTTACTACCGTTTTATAATGAGAAATGGATGCTCAGACATAATTATGAGTAACCCAGTGCAGTATTGCATATCTCACAATTAGTTGAATCAAGATTTAAGCCCAAATCCAACTTCAAAGCACGTTTTTTCCTTTTCACTTGGATTTAGGGTATTTTAGGACAACTTTGAATTTTTTGCCTACCTGGATCATCTAAGTACTGTGCTTGCTATTAAGGTGTGGTCTACTTATCGGTATGTATATTCGAACTGAATGAAAATCACAGATGATTCTGATTTTTTTAAATGAGATGTAGAGGAGGTTATTTAGCCTGGGTCCAAGAAGTACAATGATTTGTCAGTGTAGATAACTGGCACCTGCAACAATTTCTTTAACGTATCATTCTTTTAAGTGTGGCTCATTGAGTGTCTATAAAGAGGAACATTCCAATATTTTAATGCATACTTTAGGGAACTGCATGCCATTTAATTTGAGCATTGCCAGTATTAATTTTTCTCATATTCTTTGCCTCAGATAGATAAGAACAGGGTTTATGTGAATGTCAGACAGCTAGCTGTGCTAAGATGACAGTAAATTGAAAACTCCTTTACTTGCAGACATGGAATACGTTTTATTATAAGACACAGTGGATCCTACCATCAATATTTTTCCTCCTGTGGCCTTGAGTCACAGAGTGTTCATCAAAAGCAAAACAATCTGAGTTGGTCTCATCTTTTATTTTATGTGTCAACGGGCCACTGTATGAGTTTGCTCTGCCATTATGTCCCCCCTTTATTGCTGTGAAAGAAAAATTTGTAGAACTGTGAATGCAGAGAACTGAGGTTGCTTTCCATATTGTTGATTACAAGATGTGTTCCCTTAAATTCTGTACTGCACTTCTTCCCCTCCATACAGGGTATAAAGCATGTGGATCACTTTGGCTTTATCTGCCGGGAGTCCCCAGAGCCTGGACTTAGCCAGTATATTTGTTACGTATTCCAGTGTGCCAGCGAATCTCTGGTAAGTAGTGTTATTGCTGTCTGCTTGCTCCTCGCGACACATCTGTCGAAAAGAAGGCTTGTCTCTTAGGACCCCAAGCCTTGTAAAGTGGCTACCTGTGGGAAAAGAAGAAGGCATCTAGAAATAATGTTTTTCCCCTTCAAAGCAGTACAGCGGTCGAAAAGTGAAAACAAATTGCCATGGTAAAATTTATGCCTACTTTCTTGGATTTAATAAATCCAGTTATGGAACCTTGAGCATTTTTAAAAGGTAGAAAAGACTAGTAATAGGAGAAAAGCTGTTACTTTTTTCATGGCTCATATGAGAGGATAAGGAAGGCCACCGATCTTTTTTTTATTTTTATTTTTTTAATTTTCTTAATTGCTGTAACACTGCAGAGCAGATCATGCTTATATCAGCAGAGCAGAGAGCTATTTTGGTTTTCTTTCTTTGTTTCTTAGCCCCTTCTTCATTTTTAAAATACCTTATTCTTTGTGGTCTTACTTTAACCTTCATTTTCTTTCTTTGGCATTTAAAAGTGAATTCTTTTAACACTACCCCCTCTCCTGCTCTCGACTGAAGGTAACTGGAGTTCAAGAGGAAACATGTAAAGCAGGCTTGGACAAATATCAGAGTGGTTAAGAAATATGGTGATTCTTTTTCCCTCAAAGTTTTTACTTATTCTTGTACCTATGCCATCTCCCCATATTACTTTGACACAAACCTTTAGATATATACATCACTATTCTTAGAAAAGTTTTCAGAATATTGTTTTCTTAGACATTTGATCCTCCAGCCAGGATTTCTCCCAGGGAAACACATACAACTCCCCCACCTTTGTTTTTTTTTTTTTTTTTTTTGGCAGGACTTGCCTCCTTTAGTTGCTCTGTTGTTAGTTCTCTTGCTATACTTTATTCCTAGTCTCTAACTGTTCCTGCCAATCTCCATATCTCCATACTCACTTATCTGTTGCATAACCACCTACTCTACTCGATTGTGAGTTTCACAGATTTTGAACTGTCTCCTTTACATGTTGTGTCATGGGGACTCAAGGATAGCAGGTGCTTGCTACTTTTGTATTTTGAGAGATGGAACGACTGCATTCCTCTTCATTTCAGGTCATTGTTTTCTAGGTGCTGGTTAATCTCTGGTCACTGGAGAACTTGCACTAAAAGGAAAATGATGTAAAACTTTGTTACTTCTAATCTTTTTTACAGGTTTTGTTTTTAGTTTTCAGTATTTTCATTTTGCCCTCAGGCATGTAGAATGAGTTTTGGAAACAGAATCACAGTAGAAAGTCTGGGAACGTGCTGCATTTTTCCACCTAGCATACTCTGTGACTAAGGCAACAGACTTGTCTGGCTGTGAATGCCTTCCTATTACTTGAAGCTGTGTAAGAATCTGAGTTTTGGCATAATTGTTCTTAAGAATAGGCCTATGCTAAGATCTTTCAAACCCTGATTAATTTTATCAGTGAGCATCTTAACTGAATAGTGAGGCATCAGAACTACAAGCATCAAGAAAAACTGAATGTAAATTTCCTTCATAATAGAGGATGGCTTAAGCAGCTGATATAATAGACCAAAACAAAACAGTTAAATATTATCAGTGTAAGCAGTGTTAGGAGCGAGGTGGCTTGTGTAAGACAGTGTCTACCGCGCATGCTGAGTTCGCTTCCCTGAGTACCAGGAGTACACAATTAGCATTTTCTTCTGCTTCTTTGTAATAATTGCTATGAATTTGTAAACAGCGCAGTGTTCTGATGGCCCCTGGAGGGCTGTGCTGGAAGGTTAGATGCTCAGTTCTTCCTCTTTTCCTCCCTTTCTCTCTCCTTTTGCTTATAGTGTAAAATGACATTTTATGATAAATTACGTTTATTAATGGAATAATAAGAAATTCATAAGTATTAAGGTTGGTGATATAATAAAACATAACTGAATAATGACTGGCTGCTTGGTGTTTGATCTCTTCTTTCAGAAATAGTAAAGAATAATCTCTATTTTAGTTTCCTCCTATACTGAAATGTAGAAGTAGATTACATTCTTTAAATAATAATTTATTCTTAAATCAGGCCATGGGGGAGGGGGAAAAGGAAATAAAAGTGTGCTTTCCAAGCATGGTGAACGGTTTTGAATATCAAAGCTAGTTTGGATGAGGCCCTTAGTGCTCAATGGCTCTGTCATGAGGGTTTCATAATTTGATCTAAGTTCTACAGTGTGTAGGAAAATTATACCTTACATTTGTGATTGTTTACAGAAAAGGAGATACAACCTAAAATTGGTTTAACAAGGCATGGGGATGAGCTGTTAGTTGGTTTCAAAGAAGCAACCAGGAAACAAGAAGGCTAGATTCAAACTTTTTGACTGGGTCATGGATGAACAAAAAAGAAATTAGCTGGTAGTTTGCAAGCTGCCGGCCTAATGGTGAGACTCAGCTGTTAAGACACCTCTGTGTAAGACCTTCTCGGCGTCACAGATCTAAAGTGGAATGATAATTTTTTTTTTTTTTTTTTTTTGAGACAGAGTCTCACCCTTGTTACCCAGGCTGGAGTGCAATGGCGCGATCTCGGCTCACCGCAACCTTCGCCTCCTGGGTTCAGGCAATTCTCCTGCCTCAGCCTCCTGAGTAGCTG